GTCTGGCACCTCGGGCGAGGCACTAGGGCCGTGCCAAGAGCCCCGTGTCGAGTCACGTTTGAATGCACCACCTAGGGCGGCCCCAGGGGGCGCTGTGCTGCAGGGGGCAGAGCTGGTGACCACTAGGGGGCGCTGTCTCTGTTTCCACACAGTTCGCAGGGCACCACTAGGGGGTGCTGTCTCTATTTCCACGCAGTCCCCATGCCCCAGGGCACCACTAGGGGGTGCTGTCTCTATTTCCACGCAGTCCCCATGCCCCAGGGCACCACTAGGGGGTGCTGTCTCTATTTCCACGCAGTCCCCATGCCCCAGGGCACCACTAGGGGGTGCTGTCTCTATTTCCACGCAGTCCCCATGCCCCAGGGCACCACTAGGGGGTGCTGTCTCTATTTCCACGCAGTCCCCATGCCCCAGGGCACCACTAGGGGGTGCTGTCTCTATTTCCACGCAGTCCCCATGCCCCAGGGCACCACTAGGGGGTGCTGTCTCTATTTCCACGCAGTCCCCATGCCCCAGGGCACCACTAGGGGGTGCTGTCTCTATTTCCACGCAGTCCCCATGCCCCAGGGCACCACTAGGGGGTGCTGTCTCTATTTCCACGCAGTCCCCATGCCCCAGGGCACCACTAGGGGGTGCTGTCTCTATTTCCACGCAGTCCCCATGCCCCAGGGCACCACCAGGGGGCGCTGTGCTGCCAGGAGCAGCAATGGTGACCAGTAGGCGGCGCTGTCCCCTCTCTGAGTCAGTACCACCCTGATACCCTACAGGACTCTGCACTCGTCCCACCCCAGAGGCAGGCGCATGCTTTCCTCCTCCCTGGCCTCTCTGCAGCCCAGGGAAAGGCTGTACGTCGAGCGCTGATTGGCAGCGCCCCCACGGCCAACCACAGCTGGCAGCGTGCGTTACCCCGGGTGGTGCACATCTGCACCCACTTGGTGCACAGAATAAAATGTATTCTGCACACGAGCAGGGAAAAAACATAAGAGGGGATATTGGTTCCTGCTCGCCTCGCCCTCAGAGAGAGCGTGGTCATGGGAAGGGAGCTGTACGTCGAGCGCTGATTGGCAGCGCCCCCACGGCCAACCACAGCTGGCAGCGTGCGTTACCCCGGGTGGTGCACATCTGCACCCACTTGGTGCACAGAATAAAATGTATTCTGCACACGAGCAGGGAAAAAACATAAGAGGGGATATTGGTTCCTGCTCGCCTCGCCCTCAGAGAGAGCGTGGTCATGGGAAGGGAGGTGAAGGCACTCCCAGCCCCGCCCCTTCTGCCCGAGGCTC